TTTACTCTCATACACAGAAGAATTCTCTTAGCATGTGGAGTACTTGAGGGACAGCCAGGAAAGCAAAAGCAGGTTAAGAAATAATACAATAATCTCAAAAACAAGTTGTTGCAGTTGTTCCATATAATATAGTGCCTAGATCAGACTGTTTCTCATTCCGACTTTTGCCACAAAACCTAGCAACTTTCTATTTTAAATCTCCTGGATGTGTTATTTCCTTAAAGTGGTCATAAAATCACATCTGTTAGAGGTGGGAAAGATTTATCAAGTTATCCAGCTCATCCCTTTAAGAGACTGTTCTTTACATTTTTTTTTATTGTTTTGTTAGGTCTCATTGTGAATGTCCTAAGTGATGAAGATTCCTGCACTTCCCATGGATAATTGTAAAATATAATAGATCTCACTGTCAGGATCTGTTTCTCCTGATTGTCATCGTAAATGCACTGTTACTTTATTTAACACCTTTGTTTCTCATTATAGCTCCTTGGACTGTCCCTTAACACTTCCTCCTCTTCCATAGAGCCTTTATACCCTATTGACACAGTAAATCACGAGTGACTAAGAATCAGAAAACTCTGTTTCTGACCGGGGTGATCTAGCAAAGCAGAACAGATTTATCAACACTACTTTAGGGTGCATAGTATATTGTGGTCTCTTAAACCACAATGGTGATGAACCCAGAAAAAAAAAACCAGCCGCCTAAAATACATAAATTAATTGTTCATCCATCCAGTCCACCATGCGCTTAACCATTTTTAAAAATTTCCCTTACAGATAGATATTTCCTTTCCTTTCCAAGGAGTTGTCTTGCCATTTGTTTTCTGTGATGCCCACCTAACAGCAGTTTTGTACCTCATAAGGAGAGAGCACATTCCTCTACAGAAAGGGATCCCAAAGTGGGTTGCAATTAAAGATGTTAAATTGCAGTTAATTGACTACTCCAGTAGTCTATGGAATTTCCATCGACTACTCAAATAGTCGATAGGCACTTCTGCATTCTTCCCTTGAAATGTCTAAGAGCCGGGACTCCTGTACATTTGAAAGGAGGAATGCGGAACTCCGCATGCATCCCAGGGCCAGCGGGAAGTCCCTCTGTCTACGGGCTGTACACGGGTGCCTGCTTTGAAATGCACAAGAGTCCCCAGTGGGGGCTCTTGTGCATTTCAGAGCCATGGAACCCGGGGTCAGCAGGGGACTCCCCAGCTGATCCCAGGTTCTACTGAAATGCCACGCAGAGCCCAAGATCACCTGGGGAGTCCCCAGCTCACCCGGGGCTCCACTGTGCTGCCCCTTTGAAATGCCAAGGCAGCGTTTTAAAGGAGCAGCATCCCACAGCTAAGCCGGGGATCAGCTGTGCGGCAGCTATCCCTTTGAAATTCTGCGGAACCTGGGGTAATTTGGGGAGTCCCCAGCTGACCCCTGGCTCCATGGCACTGCCCCATTTCAAAGGGGCAGCGGCTGCATAGCTGATCCCCGGCTCAGCTGTGCAGCGCTGCTCCTTCAAAACTCCACCTTGGCCTTTCAGATGGGCAGCACCACACAGATGATCCCGGAATCAGCTGTGGCTGCCCCTTGTAAAACACCGAAGCAGCGTTTAAAGGGGCAGTGCTGTAGAGCCCAGGCTCCATGGCGCTTCAGTGTTTTAAAGGGGCAGCACCACACAGCTGAGCCGCAGATCAGCTGTGCAACAGCTGTCCCTTTGAAACCCACCTTAGGGTTTGAAAGTGGCAGCACCGCACAGCTGATCTCTGGTTAAGCTGTGCGGTACTGCCAATTTGAAGTATCCCTTCTTTCCACCCCCACCACCCCCCTTTGCTTCCTCTATCTGTTAGAGGCAGCAAGGGGGGAGGGGGTCAACTAGTTGACTGACTATCCAATAAGCATTTGCTTATCGGATAGTCAACTAGTCCTTTACATCCTTAGTTGCAACTCCATTTTAATGGGGTCTCCAGGGCTGGCATTAGACTTTCTGGGGGCGAAATTGAAGCCTAAGCTCATCGCTTGGGGCCAAAGCCCACGTCCCACTGCCCAGGGTTGAAACCAAATCCAGAGGTCTTCAGCAGGGCCAACCGGAGCCATTCGTGCGGCCTGGGCCCCGGGAGCGCACCACCGACCCTGGGAGTGCGGCGCACGCGCAGCCCTGCCCCTTGGGCACCGGCGCATGTGCAGCCCCGCCCGTTGGGCACCGGCACATGCGCCCCCTACAGTGGGGCGCCCCGGGCGGTAGCCCAGTCAGCCTGTAGCTTGGGCTGGCTCTGGTCTTCAGCCCTGGATGGTGGGGCTCTGGGATTACAAGCCCCCCGCACGGAGCTGAAGCCCGTGGGCTTTGGCTTTGGTCCATACTCCTGAGGTCCTGTAGTGATTCTTGTTGTCAGAAGGGGGTCAGGATTTAATGACATTTGAGAACCCCTGTTCTGCAAAAATCAGGTAGTAACTGTGTGGCAGACTTCCCATTACACACGTTGGAACAATATCAGAATCTCTTTCCAAATGAGAGGGACCACAATTTGTGTTTTATGAGCAGCTAATGTGATAACAGTGCATTAAGCTAGCATAATAACCATAGCAGATCAATACAGAGCCAGGGTCCTTCCCTAGCAGACTACTCCAAGAAAATGGACATGGTCTGCTCAAAGAATATCCCATATTTGTCTTGAACTCCCTTATGTACCCCAGGTTCAAAGTCCGAAGGAGCTTGGTAGTGGATATAGGTGCTTTTTAAAAACAGTATGGAAACAAGTGATTAACAGACCGAAAATGAAAGGCCCTGGTGTGCTGTAATACTGATAGCAACATAAATGTACACATTTCAAATAAAAAATAATGTATGGGCTTTGAATTGTGTTGCCAATAGCATGGCTTAAAATAAACCAACAAAAGCTTGTTTCTGGCCTAAAACAGTATTGGAATAATATTTAGATATTTTTACATAATAAAAATATAAAGAACTATTTCCTTCCTTCCTCCAACCTCCCAGTTTTTATATGGGACAAAGAACATGGCAGACATTTAAAGTCACGTGTGAATTAAGGCAGGGTTAGGCCAAGTGTGTATACATGCATGTCTGTATATTTTGTTAACTGATACTATTGTATTGGATTATGAGTCCAGAGCAGGCTTTCAGTCAGGTAAAGTGAGCATTGGTTTTGGCCTTGAAAACTATGAATCTTGTTAGAAACAGAATCATCAGACCAGCGAGTCATAAGTCTACAAACAGCATATGCAGTGCTTCCCCTCACATTTTATTTGATAACGATGCAGGCGAAGACCACACTGTAATCACTCAGGGTACAACATTTTATGGTCATACATTTTGATGTACAACATTCTCTAAAATGCTTGCTAGTATCAGCAGCGAGGGGATTAAGGGAAAATCCTCATCCATAAGAATCCACAGACGTCTGAACTTTCAGATCATAAAGAGGGTAAGCACATGGGACTGGATTTAAATTCTGTTTTAGGTGTTTCATAGAGATGTAAGGTACTGAATGAAGAGCATAAGAGGGATGTTTTATATGGGCACATACTGTAAAATCAAGGAGATTTAACATTCCTTTTTGGTTGTACATCTTGAAGCTGCCAAGAAGCAAATGTCCCTGAGGAACGGTATTGTGCATAGCAATTTGCTTTCATACTCTAGTACAATATAGAGCTGCCTAGGCCAATCAGCAAATAAGGAATATTCATCTGAGGATTCTCTGGCTGATGAGTCTTTATTTTCAGTTCAATAAAGTTAAAAAAAAATGCATTGTGGAATGTATGAGCAGCCAGTTTCAGGTTCCTTGAAGGACTAACTGGAAGATGAGGTAAGTATGCTGCTACATGTGCACATAAAACAAATATTAGTCTTCAGAGTAGAATCACCATATAATCTTTAAAGCTGAGTTTATTTATAACCAACACAAAAGCACTGTGTAACTTCTGGGTTTAAAAACATTCCTTTGGCCTTCATGCTGTAGTGATGAATGCCATAGAAATGGCTTTTTTTTTCTTCAAGTTCTCACCCAGAGGTAGCTGTCAGTCTAATAATACCTGGCACTTTTCATTTGAAACCACCTTACCAATATCCTTAGCTTTCTTGTAGGCATGTATTCTGCCTCCATTTTACAGATAGTGACAATTTGATTTGCCCAGGTTTACAGAGGGTCTCTGTGTCTGAGCCATGCTTCAAGCTCAGGAATTAATTCTACAGTGCCATAGAGTGGATAGCCCTCGATGGACAAATGGAAAATGACAAGATACTTTCTCAAAAGAGCTTATATTTTAAAGGACTGAGATGTGTTGAGTTCCCACAGCTCCCATTGAAAACAATGGCTGTATTGGGTTAGTGAGAGGGATTGATGCAAGTACCATGAAGCCCATACAGTGAAGAAATCGGACAAAATTCTTATTTAAATCACACACCTACCCAGGAACTGAGCTGAAAACTTGAAGCTTTCAGCTACAGGAATAAGAGGATATCAGTTGAGCAAAAGGTCATCTCCCTCATCTGATAGCGCGAATGGATCCCTTACGTTCTCCGTGTCCCGCTCCAAGAAGACAGCATTCCCTAGCCGTCCTACACACACAGTCAGCACATGCCAAGCAGAAGTGTTAAGATCCCATGGGGATATGCATTGATGAGACTTGACTTAACTTGTGGCTCTCTGTAACTTGTTCTAATTGTAGGGTGAAACCTGCCCTATTTTGCAGCTTTTGGGGCTTTTAATTAGAGACCTGAAGTAAACTGGGTGCTAGTGTCTCTAGACACTAGAACTGAATGCTGGATCTAGAAAATGTAACTAGTCTCTGTTCCTATTAGCTCAATGTATAGCGCCATGTTAGGCTTGTGTTTTATGTTATTCAGGTAACAGCACCATGTAGTCTGGAGCCAGCCTTTCCTTCCTCGCTACAAAATTTTCCTTCACTTTTACTTATTTGGTTTGCTTTTAACAAAATGGCATTATAAAGCCCTCATGAAATCAGAAGGAAACTCTAAAATGTTCTTTTTCTTTCCCCAGGCGCTATGAGTCTCATCCTATCTGTGCTGATCTGCAGAGTAAAATTCTCCAATGTTATCAGCAAAATTCCCATGAGACCCTCAGCTGCTCTGCATTGGCTAACCAGTACCTGCATTGTGTCAATCATGCCAAACAGGTGAGTGGAGGACTGCAACCACTGAATGGCCTATGGAAAATACTATGGATCATCTTGTTAATCTTTGTCACCTGCCAGTGCAGGATTATTCCTGACAGTATGTTTCCATGTGCTTTGTAGAGGCAAATTTTCAATTACTCAAGCAAAAGCAATTCCATAGCTTCCCTTGGGAGGCTGTTCCACTGTGTAATAGACATTACACTTAGCAAATGTTTCTGTATATCTGCGATTATAGCTGCAAGATAAATGGATTCATCTGAGTGACATTTCTGTCATAACTTTCCAACCCATAACATCACCCATTTCAGTAACAAATTAATGCATGTCCCAAACTGGCTAACAAACCGGTCAGATTGTAGGAAGTTTTGATCTTTGATGTACAACCAAATCACATAGTGTGGCAGTATAGCTTACTTATCCTATCCTTTTGCATACTAATTTGCTAGCAATATAATTTTACCCATATAGTGTAAACTTCTGATATTCTATAAAAGTTTGATTAGCCACTAAGTCAGAATGATTTTTAAAGATATAGTTGCAAAATAACAGCATAAGCCAGTGCAAAATATAATAAAGATTTATTTTAAAGTCTGTGACTCCTTTAAAAAGCCAACAGTTTAACAATCCTCTTTGCTTCTGGCTGCTAACTGCACAGTGTAGTTCTTAGGGGCCAACCAAATTGTTTTACCTGGATTATTTTCTAAAAGATCTTTGATGTGTACTAATCATAATTGTGCAGCAGTTGGATATTTTATTTTGTGAAAGTATGGCTCCGTTCACAAAGTACCCCAACAAGCAGCCCAACCTGCAGCTACATTGGTAACTGGTGCACTTTGGTACTGCTAGATGACTCACCACACTTAATTGTGGTGTCACATTAGAGCAGCATAGGAGAAAGAGGCTAGAAGTGAGCAAAGTGTATGTATAAATTTAGAGACAAGTTCAAGCCTCAGGGTTTGGGTTCAACTCTCTGAATATAATGGTTCAGAGCTGGAGTCTGTTTGGGGGCTTCTCCAACGTAAGTACCAGGAGACGTATTCCCCCCTCAGAGGGCAGGTCACTGACACAGAATGATGATCTCTTGGTAAGCTGGGCAGAAGCAAACAATATGCATTTTAATTACAGCCAGTATAAAGTTATACATTTAGGAGCAAAGAACGTAGGTCTCCCTTACAGGGGACTGTATCGTGGAAAGCAGAGACTGAAGAAGACCTGGGGGTTGTAGTGGATAATCAGCTGAACATGAGTTCTCTGTGTGGCAGTGTGACCAAAGGGCTATGCAATCCTTGGATGCGTTACGGAGAATACTGAGTAAGAGAGTTATATTAGCTCTGTATTTGGCCTTGGTGTGACTAGGGATATGAACGACTAGTTGACTATCCGATAAGCACATCTAGATATTGGATAGATGCTTATCGGATAGTCAACTAATCACTCTCCTCCTGCCTCCTTGCTGCCTCTATCAGAAAGAAGCAGCAAGGAGGAAGTGGGGAGAGGAGACAGTGCTTCAAAGCAGGACTCCTCCGTTGAACCTGGGCTCCATGCAGTGATGCTGCTTTGAAATGCCACAGGGAACATGGCGCTGTTGCTACTCTTCAGTGGCGGAGGCGCCCTTATCGACTAATCAAATAGTCAATGCAAATTGCATCGATTGTTTGATTAGCTGATTAATCTAAATTTAACATCCCGAGGTGTGACAGTGATTGGAATACTTTCCAGTTCTGGTGTACACAATTGAAAGAGAATGTTGATGATACGTTGGAAGGGGTTAAAAGAAGAGCCATGAGAATACATGTCTCATAGTGATCAACATCAGGAGCTCGAAGAGAAGATGAAGGGATTACTTGATTGCAGACTGGAAGTACCTACTTGGGAAACAAATATTTGGTGGTGGGCTCTTCGGTTTAGCAAACAAAGGTTTAACAAAAGTCAGTGGCTAGAAGTTGAAGCTCAGCAAATTCAGACGAAGGTGTACCTTTTTACCAGTGAGAGTAATCAACCTTTAGAACAATTTACTAACAGTCATGGTGAATTTCCATCATTGGCAATTTAAAATCAAGGGTGAATGTTTTTCTAAAAGCTATATGCTGTAGTTTAAATGGGAATTATCTAGGGCCTGTTTTATACAAAAGGTCAGACTATATGTCCACAGTGGTCTCTCTTGGCCTTAGAATCTGTGAATCTCTGTGTCCTTGCAGAAATCAATGGGAGCAGTGCTTGTGCACCACAGCATTGTATGTGTAAAGTATGTGCTTCAATAAGTCTATCTCAAATTTTGATGTTGGTGAACTCCAGTAGTTGAAAGGAAAAAATCAGAGCATCTACTCCAGGGTGTTAGCACAGATTTCAGCAAACTCTTCTGATATTTGCTAACATAGAGTCTGGGTCAGTGTGCATGTACATAAGAACGGCCAGACTGGGTCAGACCAAAGGTCCATCCAGCCCAGTATCCTGTCTTCCAACAGTGGCCAATGCCAGGTGCCCCAGTGGCAATGAACAGAACAGGGCATCCTCATTCCCATTTTCTAACAAACACAGTCTAGGGACCCCATTCCTGCCCATCCTGGCTAATAGCCATTGATGAACCTACCCTACATGAATTTATCTAGTTCTTTTTTGAACCCCTTTAAAGTCCTGGTCTTCACAACATCTTCTGGCAAGGAGTTCCACAGGCTGACTGCGCTGTGTGAAGAAAAACTTCCTTTTGTTTGTTTTAAACCTCCTACCTGTTCATTTCATTTGGTGACCCCTAGTTTTTTTGTTATGGAAACAAGAAAAAACTTTTTCCTTATTTACTTTCTCCATACCGGTCGTGGTTTTATAAACCTCTGTAATAACCACCTCCCTCTCTCCCCCCAGTCATCTCTTTTCCAAGCTGAAAAGTTCTGCTCTTATTAGCCATTCCATAGCCCTAATAATTTCTGAAGCCCTTTTTTGAACTTTTTCCAGTATTTTTCTACATATTTCTTAGATAAGTTTGACTCCATCTACACACAGTATTCAAGATGTGGCCGTACCATAGATGTATATAGATGCAGTAAGATACTCTCTTTCTGACTCTATATCTCTTTCTTAATGATTCCCAACATTCTGTTTGCTGTTTTGGCTGCTGCTGCACATTGAGTGGATGTTTTCAGAGAACTATCCACGGTGACTCCAAATTTTCTCTCTTGAGTGGTAACAGCTAATTTAAACTCCATCATTTTGTATGTATACTTGGGATTCCTTTGCACTGAACAACATTAAAATGTGTCTGCCATTGTGTTGCCCAGCCAGCTAGTTTTGTAAGATCCTTTTGAAGCTCTTCACAGTCTGCTTTGGACTTAACTATCTTGAGCAGTTTTGTATCATCTGCACATTTTACCACCTCACTGTTTACCCCTTTTTCCAGATCCTTTATGAATATTTTGAATAGGATCCATCACAGTATGGACACCTGCGGGAAACCACTAGTTACCTTTCTTCATTCTGAAAACTGACCCTGTATTCCTGTTTCCTGTCTTGTAACCAGTTATCAATCCATGAGTGGAACTTCCTTCTTATCCCTTGACAGCTTACTTCACTTAAGAGTCTGTGGTGAGACACCTGGTCTGCAGATTGTTATTAATATTGCTAATGGTCTGTTGCTATGGAAATCTTAATCCCATCTGAACAGTCACAGTTATGTTGCAGTGTTAAAAATCCCATGACATCTAAGGCCTGGAGGAACACTTAATAAACTTTTCTCTTCTATCCTTATAATCCTTTGTCCTTGTAGTTAATGCAAGGAAAGGGGGGCCTTTTTCCTATCAGGGATCACTGGCCCCCAGAAAAAAGTCACATACAGCCTCAGGGGGGAGGGTGCAAAGGCTCAGGCCACAAATAAGGAGGCAGCTTTGGGTTGTGGTAGAGAATTAAGGTGTGGGAGGGCATTTGGGGGGACAGGCTCTGTGACCGGAGATGAGGTATTTGGGATGCAAGAGGTGGCTTCAGGCAGGAGGTTGGAGAGGAGGTGAAGGTGTGGGGTCTAGGTGGGAGTTAGTCTGGAGGAGGTCGGGGCAGGGTGTGGGGCTACAGGAGGGGAGTGTAGGATGCTTACCTCAGGCAGCTCCCAGTTGGTGGTGCATCAGGGCTAAAGAAGGCTCCTTGCCTGCCCTGGCCACATGCCACTGCTGCTCCTGGATGCAGCTGTGGCCAGCACATCCCTGTCTCCTGGCAAGGGGAGGGTCACTCCACATTTTGCTCTTACCTTCAGCCACCGCCCCCGCAGCTCCCATTGGTCATGCTTCCCATCCAATGGGAGTTGCAGGGGCGGCGCCTCCAGACAGATTGTGGAGCTTCCCTGATTGCTGCAAGCTGGCAGCAGTGCTCTCCACTCCAGCCCGGGGTGGAGGGAGAGAACGTAGGGCTTCCAACCAATGGTACGGAGACTCGGCACAGGCCAATAACAGTTAAGCCCAAGTTCCCTACTCCTAAGTTAGTTAAAATAGGAATCCCTGGTGGAATAGCAGTGCTGGAGGAAAGGCCTCCACCTCCACAGCTGCAGTACGTTTGCTGTTTGTGTGTGAGGATCCAAACTAAGGCAGATTGTATGTTTTCAGCAAAGCTCCCCACTTCACATGGTGAAAGTTAATTTCCCATTGTGAATGAATTGTCCCTACCAAGCATGATCCATGGTAGTATATACAGTTAGCATTAGGATTTGAAATGGAAAGGACCAATTAGGTCTGTGTCCCTCCAATATGTCCCCTTTGGTTTCTTCCTCTCCAGTTATAAATGCAGTAAGCAGTGGTGCTCTGTTCTAACAAGTCTCACTGCTAACAACATTTCTATGATACCCAGTTGTATTTTCCTTTGCCCAACCTAATGCCTTTTAGTTATTCCTTTTGAGGAAGGTTATGGCTGAGGTCTGCTGAGACACATAAGGTGCAGGGAGCTTTGGATCACCATGCAGGCCTTGATCACAACTACATCCTTTGCATTCCTTTGAGCACAGAAAGTGCTCCTGGATTTTTTTCATA